AAATAATGATGTATGCACAACCTTGGAACAACAGGGCTCTGGCATACAGGGATTGAGACATGGTTGAAATGGTTAAAACAGGGGAAATAATGTTAAGATGCTTGGCTGTCTTTTGAATCTTGGTTTCCCTGGCATACAATTATAAAATAGACATTTGAGGCGGAGAGAAAGGAATAGCCAGAAATATCACCATAGAAAGCTTGTATGACTGTCTTGTGCCTATAACTGATTAGAATACCTAAAATGGGGCTACAACATGCCCAGTGAAGGTGGCTTTCTGAGGAGTCTCTGCATTACATAAGACCATAGGTGGAATCCTGAACCCCATCCACAGTCTTCTGAGGTGGGCAATTTCCACTTGAAAGGACAAGCAGACCAGCATGGAATGCTAGAAGATCAGAAGATAGTTCTTGAAAGAAAGATGGGCAGGAAAAACACAAAACAATAAAAGAAGTCCAACTGATTACTACAAGAACAAGCAAGGTCCTCACCCAGGAGACATTTAGGCAAGTGGTCGGGTCCCCTTAGTGCAAACCCCCTTTCAAAACTAAGACTCAATGGGAATACACACTCTGATTGGTAGCCATGGCCATCACCAATAAGTGGAAGTAAGGGAAAACAACAATGAAGCTATCAGCTAAGCCCTACAACGTTCAATAGACTCCTGTGAACCCGGGTGGAGACCTGGTTGGACAGCAGTGTGGCAAGACCTGGGGACTCTAGAGCCCAGAGTCAGTGACATAGCCACAGAGGACTAGAGTGGAGAGTGAAGCATCCAGCTGATATGAAGAGAGGGTATATGCACAAGAACACCCACACTTGCAGATAATACCCACTTGACCTGGCTTCAATGACTGGATGATCAGAGCTCAACTAGAAGAAGAAAGAAGAGGAAAAAAAAAAAAAAAGAGTAATCTGTTACAATTTGGTGAACTTGACCTACACCTATGGATGCAGTAGCTCAAAAGAGGCAACAAATCTTCACAGCAAGGATCATTCCCACCCCCTCCATCACAGAATAGACAGGGATGGGCAACTTGGATATTGGCTACCCAAAATGGGGGGGGACTACAAAGGCAAGAAGTAACTGGCTTACATGCTTTCACAAGTGACCCTAGATCCAGAGGGCATGGAGGAAGGTAGAATCTCCACTGAGTAGTATCCAATCTGTCTGGGTGGGGCTGATAAAAGGAGATGCGGATTGGTCTCTTGAGATACAATAGTGAATAATTGTTATCAGGACTGATTGTGAGGGTTGGAAATGTAAAGGTAGACGTTTTGTAGCAAAATGAGGGGAGTGATAAACTTTGCAGTCTAGGAGCGGAGGTCCCTGGGACTATGAAGGAGAAGAGCAGAGAGCCCAACCCTACCCAGAAAAGCACTGATGCCTAAGAAGGGGGTGGGCGGGGGGCGCAGGCTTGTAGGATATACCATTTGGTTAGTTGATGATGCATGGAGGGTATTGTAACCATGGCAATCAAACAGTATATGATAGGATGAATGTAAAACTAATGTTCTTCCATGTAAACTATCACATAATTCACAATAATACACTTAAAAAAAAAAGTTAATAGAAAAAAATCCATTATCTTTAAGACTTAGTGGACATTTAGTTCTGAAAGTAAATGAGAAGGGAGAACCAGTGAATGTTTGGTTTCCTGCCCGATAACTCAGGCTCTGAATCTAAGAGAAGCAGGTTTGGGGAATGGGAGTAGAAAATGAATTGTACTTAGAACATACTAAATTTGGAATTGCAGTCAGATCTAGCAAGGAAATGGATAAGTAAGCTTTGCAGAGAAATAAGAGCTGAAGATAGAGATACAAGGTATCTGTAAAATATTACCTACCATCCAAGATGAAGGTAAGGATTAAATTAGATGATGTATGTAAAGTACCTAATGCTACATAGCACTCTAAATAGCAACTCTTTCTAATAAAAAAGAAATCAGATGGTAGATTTAATACTTTATTCAATACATGCAATTTTTATTCCATCCTGTGCAAAATTGTCAACCCAATCTTGATGTAGATAAAGCCTAAAGTTAAAACTACAACTTAAAGACCTCCCTCTGGATTTTAAAGAAACTTTAGTAAGCTGACTGTCAGTTTTCCAGTTATTTCTTCCTTAATCACTAAACTATTAAGAAGTTGGCTTAATGAGCCATTCTCCCCAACTATAACCCTCATGGCCTTTTGTTAAATGTCTCTTGGTAAAAGGAACCCTACAAAATTGATCCTCTTAGATCCTGAAACATTTATTCAAACATAAAAGTTCTGAGGTAGGAAATACAATTTTCAGATTGGTGAACCGCAAGGTCAGTAGTTTGAAACTACCAGCTGTTCCACAAGAGAAAGATGAGGCTTTCTTTTCCATAAAGATTTACAGCCTCAGAAACCCTGGACAAGGTCACTATGTGTCAGAACCGACTCCGTGGCACTTAACAACAACAATAATATAAAAGTAAAATCATGTACCTTAAAATATAAACTTTCAATTCCAACTAAGGGGTCCAAGTCCTGACAAACAGGTAAATGATAGGAAAGATGGAGTAAGATGCAAAAAGTAATAAATTTTCCTTCTCTCATGCCAATCTTTCCAAAACTTCCTCCTCAACATTTATAGAACGTAACCACCCACCAACAGAAAATCAGATGCTCCTTTGAAGCCTTCTTAGATGACTCTATACATCAAATCTCTTAAAGTTTCTCTGCTCAACAATCAAAGAAGCATATATTTTATGGCAATTTCTAAACTATATCTAAAAATACAATTTAAAAAATGATGTCACCAACTTTTGAGTTACACTGAGTAATTTAAAAAATTCTTCTGTTATGTCAAAATTTTAAATTGGATCAGCTGAATACAACACATGTACCTTGCTATGATATTAGTGAATTATACTTATTCCATTCCATGGCCTAATTATAGAGAACTTTAGGCCATAGACGATTAGAACGGTTATGAGTTGTTAATGGATCATGATTGCTCTCAGGAATGTGAATAAGCTTTGTCTTTCAAAGGCAAGGATGATAGAATTCGTTCTTATCATCAAGTAGAATAATTTGAACTGTACTTTCTTTCCTTTCAGTCAAACTATTCCTGAAAACTAATCTACATGTGGCCTTAAGTTTGCTAGCTTGTATATCATTTGCATTAAAAGAAAAATCTTTTCTATGATTGATAAGACTCCCAAATATACTGCTAGTTTTCAAAATACAAAATCTGAATGCATTCTTGCTATAAACCACCAATAATAATGTTAGTGTGAATAATGTTGGGCAAATTACCTATTAGAGGGATATTTTATGAATTTATAGACAATATGTTTTCAAAACATATGACACTTTAATTTTTCTAGTGCTTACGCAATGTCATAGAAAAGGCCCTGTTAATGATCCCTGGTTCTTCCAGGAACAAGGAAGGCAAAGTAATTTTCTTTATAATGAAATGACAGGTTTGAGAGCAGTAAGTAGGCTGTGAAAGGTCCTTTTCTGCACTGATATGAAGGAGGTGCTAACACAGAAGTCAGTCAGCTTTTTCCCTCTTGTGCTGCAATTTAAAATACATATCAAAAGAAGAAGGAATGAGCTTTCTTTAAACTTGGAAGAATGTAATTTGCACATTAAATTTGTTGACAAGAAAAGTTGGGAGACTTTTGAAGGTAATATTCAGAAAGTGATATTATGTGTCTACCTGAAGTGGTTAAAAAAAAAGAACTGTCAAATTCTAAATCCTATCATTCCCAAGCTCTATAACACGTCTCAAAGCCTCCAAGGATTTATAGAAAATAAAAGATAGGATCTTATAATATTTTATTCACTTAGCATTTAGTTAATTCCAAATGACATCGGGTCACCATCAAATTAATGACTCAGGGTCATTTAAGATATATTTCTATGTTCTTTTATCTTTAGATT